GCTATGCAGCTACTTAAAAGATTAGGTCCTTTGCAGGAATGCGGATGGAGCTGAAGGCCACTCTCTTTAGCAAACTAACGCAGGAATAGAAATCCAAACACCGCATGTTTTCGTAAGTGGGAGCGAAATAATAGGAACCAATAGGCACAGGAAGGAGAAAAACAGACGCTGGGACCTACTTGAGGGCAGAGGGTGGAGGGAGGGAGGGGATCAGGAGAAATAACTACTGGGTACTAGACTTAGTGCCTGAGTGATGAAATGATCTGTACACCAAACTCGTGCGACGAGAGCGTGCCTGTATTAACAAACCTGCACGTGAACTCCTGATCCTAGGAGTCTTTTTTTTTTTTTTTTTAAAGAAAAATAGCCATTTTAGAGCCTAATGGATTGTTCCTGGATGATGCCTAGATTATCCAAATGATTTAATGCAAAGATCTGGGAAACAGCTTAATGAAAGAGCCCCAGGTCTGACTATAAGTTGGGGGCACAGGTGGGCAAAATTCCTGGTTCTAGACCTTTTTAACCAAAGTGCTAAACTGCTCCCCCCACCCTTTGGGTGACCTCACTTTGCCCCCCAACAAAGCATGAGTGAGCAGCCTACTAGGTGAGCTGCCCAGTCCAAGCCTGGCTGGCCAGAATCCCAGGGAGACTGTGCTTTCCTCACATAAACCCCTAGCCAGCATATTTGGGCAGCCCAAGTATGCAGAATCACTTTCAAGCAAAAGATCACATGTATTCAGAATCTTCAGTGTTCAGAGCAGAGAATGAGTCAGTGATTCAAACTTTCTAGAAGGAATTGAGCGCCCCCTGCTGGGTATTGTAGCATTGACATTAAACTATCCTCTCCAATGCACCAAAAAATCTGAAACTACAGATTTAATCTGGTATAAAACCCAGTGACAACAGGACTTAAGGTGACAACATTATATATGAGTTTGATAAAAGGTTGAATCTTTAAATGTTTCATAATTCCCATGCTCCTATTAAAAATGCTTCTAGTTCTTTGTCTCAACTCTAGAAACAAGGTACATATTTTAAAGTTCTAAGTATTCTGATAGGATTTTCTTCCCATGTCACAGAAAGTTTTATAGGAAAGGTAACATGGTCCAGGGAGAGGACATGGGTTTTGGAACCAGACAACCTAGGTTGGAGTTCATTTACTATTTGAATGACTTGGAATACATCTTTCGTTTTGAGACGGAATCTCACTCTTGTCACCCAGGCTGGAGTGCAGTAGCACCATGTTGGCTCACGGAAACCTCCATCTCCTGCGTTCAAGCAATTCTCCTGCATCAGCCTCCTGAGAAGCTGGGATTACAGGCACCCACCACCGTGCCCAGCTGATTTTGTTTTTAATATATTTTTAGTAGAGACGGGGGTTTCACCATGTTGGCCAGGCTGGTTTCGAACTTCTGACCTCAGGTGATCTGCCCACCTTGGCTTCCCAAAGCACTGGGATTACAGGACCCGGCCTGGAATAAGTCATTTAAGTCACCATCTCCTGATCAATGAGCACAATGCTATCCACCTAAAAGGTGAATGTCAGGGCTGGAACTTGTGTGTAAAGTGTATAGAAGTGCTTGATTAACCATGGTGTCACTATTGCGATACTATTACCATGTGAGTCTGAGTTGGGCTTCAAAGGATGGGTATACCCTGCACTCAGATGCTGTTTCTAGAGAATAGGGGCTATATCTTCAGTCCTGTGTCTTGCTCAGAGATCTAACCCCTGGGTCATGAGGGCAGTGCTCAAACCGGACAAGTCTGGACAGTTCCACCTGTTCTCATCTTGAACAGATATTCCAAGTCCTTCTGCTTCTAGCTCTATCTTGCCAATCCAAGTCACCATCATCTCTCATTTGAGCCAGTGCAAAGCTCTTCTCATTTGTCTTTCCAATTCTGTTCTTACCTCCAAAGTGACATAAATATATCTCAAAAAATCCAATCTGATCAGGCCACTCTCTTTAGTTAGAACCTTTCAATGACTTAGAAAAACTTTTTTAACCAGATATCTGCCTACTTACCTTGCTTATAATGCCGGTCCTACCTCCTGGCTTTATGCAGTTTGCTGTCTCTCTAAGCAATCCTCATCTCCCAATTCTTTCTCTTGCTACTACTACCCCTCTTTCAGGTGTGGGTTCACACGCTCAAGGAGAGTACAAGAGATAGCACATTTTCTTTTCTTCATTCTGCTGCACTGCAAGCGGAAATTAATTCTGTGGTCACTGGGACGTCTTTTCTGCTTCTTAAGGTCTTGCAAGTATTTAGGATACTCATGAATGACCTGGAAAAATGGGTAAAGACTTCCACTCTTCAGTCTATCTGGGTCGTTGCTATTATCTTCACTGGCAAGTCTGTGGGGACCCTTGAAAGAGGTGGCTCCAAGCTCGGAGGTCTTTGCCTTGTCTGGAAGACCTAGTGTTGAGGTGCAGATTTCCTCTGCAGCACACAACAAACCATGAAACTCTGAAGTTCACCATCTCACTGTGGTACCAACAAGTGGCACACAGCTTTCCACTACTCCTGAGGCTCCTGTCTGCAGAGCCGCTTCTCTCCCACTCTCCTCTGCTTCCCAAACAAGGGCTAGGGTTATTATTAAGCATGCCCGCTTCCTGCCATGCATGAGAAGCACACAGGAGCTGGTTACTTCCTTGGAGAGTGAAAAAAATTCAGAGACAAAATTAATTATTTCAAATTAAGTGCTATAAAAGCTGCTAATCACAAGGTCTCCCCTGGATTACTCAATATAAATCAGGTCCCCTCCAGTCACATTCTCTTATACTGCAGTAGCACTGCTGGTACCCATTCCCAGCTACTGTGTATTGGTTACCAAAGGTTCACAGCTGTACTGTCCTCTGGAAAGGCGCAACACCTGGGAATACCTGGGCGGTTTCACTCTCACTGGGGAATTGGGGGAGGGACCAAGCTAATGACTGACTAATTCACACTCAGTACAAAGGCCTAATCCCTTTCCTCAAGGTGGGAAAACTCTCAATGTCTTCACGGTCCAGGGCTCGCATGGGATCAGATGGAAGCTAGACTTCAGTTCAAACCATATCTTGGTTCAGCTTCTTTCCCTGCCCTATCCTGTTTCCCTCACAGGTTTCTTGTGAAAGCACCTCAATAAATCACTTGCACAAGAAGTCTCTGCCTCAGGCTTGGCTTCTGGGAACCCAATCTAAGCCACATCTTTTATTTTTCCTTCCTAGAATATGACCCAAATAGAAACCATGTGCTTGTACGGCTATTGGTTTAATGCCCGTCTCCCCAGCTGAAGGCTCCATGAAGGCAGAGGCCATGCTTACTTTGTTCGCTGCTGTATTCCCAGTGTCAGGCATGGTGCCTCCCACAGAGAAAAGCAATATGCAGGCAGGACCAGTGGGTCACACAGCCTCTTGGCCTCCCTCTGCAGAGACTTTCCTTTCTGCGTATTTTGGTACAGACGGTTGAAGAAAGCTACCCTGTAACAGCAACTTAGCATTTCTTGTGCCCATCATTCTCAAGCCAGTCCTAGATAGATTTCAAAGCCCTGGTTGACAAAATCTGACTAGCCCAGATTAGGTCACCTAATTCCTGATACGATGAACTACAGTTCTGGCACCATAACACAAGTTACGAACTTGCCCAAAGAGGGTATTCCTGGGGATGGGGCAGTTCTCAGATGAGTGTCATAGACACAAACCAACCGCTGTCTTACAGGCATCACATTCTGATTCAGCAGAAATCAAGAATAGCTTTCATATTTTACTGGCCTACTAATATTCCAGGGAAAGGCTGGGCAGGATTCACATGAACATTTGTCAAGTTCCTAGATGTTAGTGTCTGAGAGATTACATATCACAGGTAAACACATGTTCATTTCACAAGAATGTGAAAGAATGGTAGCATTCTAGGTACTTTACTTGTTTGAAAAGCTTTTCCTGTTGGTATAATTTTATTTTTTAAACATCATAATTCTCTTTTCTATTAGGTTGTCTTTCTTTGCTTATTGAAGGGACTGGTGCCTTGGAGCCTTGATTCTGAAGATGAATGCCTTCCAGGCAGAACTACTGATGCAGAGAGAAGAAATCAGCCTGGATGTGTGTGCACTATAAGATAGCCGTGAAAATCATGTTTCTGATTGAAAACATGAAATAAGTTCATTTGTTTTTTCATGTATCTCTTCCTCCTAAAGGCTAGGTAAACAAAAAGACCCAGCATAAAAAGGATGAGAAGAGATTTTAGTTATTTAGTATTTTCAGAGTTTCAACAAGGGATACAGATACAAGTAGCCAGGGCTGCTTCTCACAGAGTTCAAATCTAGGGAGAGAACATGAAAGACACTGTTTACCAGGCAAATAATTCCAGGAAATAAATATACATGAATGTGTTTTTGAAAATACAGGTTCTTCTACAAATGTGTAAATAAATGCTGATTCCACAGTGGTGTGGTTATATCTGAACGGGCTTTGAGAAAATAAGAAATGCCATTACTGAATAAAACTAGTGGTCCACCTAGCCAAAGATCCTTTCCAGCAGCATAAATGGAAGTTTTAGGGAGAACAGAGGTAACCGTCAGATATCTTTCTAACCTGTAAATTCATCCAAAGTTTGAAAATACCACGAAGAATCTTAGGAGTGCCAGTAACCAAAGAATGGAGTATCTGCATATCACAACATCTACAGGCTAAATCCACTCTGAATGCTTCTCACTGTGGGGGAGTATGAGAAGTTCATAATTCTCCTAGTGTCTGCTTCCTTTTTCTTCGCCTTTCCCTCTCATACCTCCAATCACTTGTGTTACAGGACACACCTAAATAGCTGGAAGGTGTTAAACTTTGACGGCAAAGCAAAAATCAGAGGTAAAGGCAAATGTTTAACCAATCATGTTCAAATACAAGCTACTCAATGAAAAGTTTTTAAAGAGCCAAATATTCAGCGTTACTGAGAAATCTATTTCTCATTTCTCATTCTGATGAACATTTTCACATTGCACTTTGCTACCACAAACTAAAACGGTATACATTTTTGAGTGCTGATTTATTACTCAAAGATTTGAAGTAGGAGACTGAAACAAAACATTTTTTATCTGTGTACTTTTAGAAAATTCGTCCGCAGGAAAGGAGCCAAGTGTCAGTTTCCAATGGGGGGCACGTTCTCATGGAGGTACTGTAAAGCTAAGTCTGTCCACTTCATTTCCTGTTCTTTGACAGATTCTGTGGTGCCACCATTGTCTTGTTCCGGTTCAGGAAGCTCATTCTGAAAAGGTACAATGGAAATTCAAAACAGCAATATATTCTGCATTTTCTTGAACTCAAGAACACTTAGAGTTAAGGCTTGTGAGTTCCTAGGAACAGGCAATATAATTGATATGTGTATTCTAAAGAAAGAGCTGAAATCATACATGTGAGAAAAATATCAGAAGTATCATTCAAACATGGCCTGGGCCTTCTTCAGTGGGGAATGATGGGCATTTTGACTCTGACATTTGTGAAGGAGGCAGTGTGGAAGAAGGGTTAAGGGCAGAGGCTTTTGGAAGCCAACTTAGGATACAAGACCACAACTTTCCCATTTGCTGGGTTACTTGGGCCAGGTATACAAACCCTTGGGGACTTTGCTTCCTCCTTGGCAAATGGGAGGAAAAAAAGAGCCATCACTTCATAGGACTGCTGTAAGGATTAAGTGAGGTAATCTAGATAAGTGCTGAGCACTGTGTAGGGTACCCAGTGCTCAAAGAATATTTGCTATGATTAGTAGTGGCTAGGAACACTGAGAAGAGCCAATACTAAATCTTCTTTTGGGGGGAATGTGCTTTAAAAGAATACTAGTTTGCTGGCATATTCCTTAGACATAAGAAATGTATCAAAAAAAATTACCCTGGATCTCACAGGTGTGTATTATAATTAAAATGGAGGTGGTGCAGAAAATACTGAAAATGCAACTAATAGATGAGACCTCCCCCTAGTGGTGGAGCACGGCAACAAAAAAACACAAGTGACCAATTCACACCCTACCAGTAATTTTCTTAAAATGGTTAAGTCATGGGGTACACTTACTGTGGAATCTGCAATCAAGTACTTATATTTTAAATTTAAATGTATTACTACTGAATCTCTACTTTGTAACAGAGTTCACCGATACCAATATATTTCAATTATCTTAATTTATGTTTTGTTTCATGCTTAGCAAACTGTTATGTAATATCCAGACTTAAAATTTTCCACTAGATTCTAATTTCCAGTATGTGAATGTTTTCCCCTTTAACATCATGCTCAATATATATTAAATGATATTTACTTATCTATATTTGAATCACATACATCTTGTTCTATAAGAGATTCAGACATACTTGAACAGATTGAAAGAGCTATCATTTATTGTAAAGCAGTAATATATTATCCTTAACTTAACAAGAAAGCTCAGTCCTAATAATTACTTATAGATGACAAAAATTAAACAGGTCCTTAGTTAATGAATTATTTAATTCAGAAGCAGGCAACTTGGCTTAATTTCTTCCTATCTGTGGTATGCTTTCTAAAATAATGTGTCTTTCATTTGGTGTCTACTGTTCCTTGCAATAAATGCCAACATATAAAATTGCATATATGACTGGGAAACAAAAATAAATGTATCATAAACACAACCATCTGTTATGGTGTAGTGTAAAAATGCCCTTAGTTCTTTGCAGCTACTCTTATCAAAAGGTGAAATCTATTTCCCCAATTTTGGATTTGGACTGGCTCTGAGAGTTGTTTTGGCCAAAAGAATGAAGCTGTAATGCCAGTGGGCCAGTTCTTTGCCTAAGCTCCATGAAGCTCTGTGGTTTCCTCTTAGGCTGCCCTTGGAACCCTGAGACTGAGAAGTCTGGGCCAGCCTGTTGGATACCAGAGACCATGGTCTAGTCACCCCATCACCCAGTGGACAGCTTGCTAACTGCCAGACATGTGAGACAGGCCTAGAGTACCCAGCCTCCAGACAGTCTGCTGGCCGCCTGCACAACACAAGCAGGCCCGGCAGGGATCCATGGAGCTGGCGCAGACTAGAAGTCCCGACCAGCTGAGCTATACAATAATGAAATAAACAGTTATTCTTTTAAGCCACAAGTTTTAGGGTGATTTGTTATGCAGCAAACCTAACTGGCATACACATTGCCTTAGAATCACAAGACAAGCGAAAGGTATGAATTAGCAGCAGGGCCAAGCCAAGTTCACTTGGAAGTCAGCAGGGAAACTTCCCTCTCCTTCATCCTCTGCCACACAAATGTTCTCCAATCTGTGCGGCAAATTTCTCCAGAATTGGATGTCTCCTTTATTTTCTTGACTTTGTTCAGGCCCTCCTCCCTTGCCTAGACCACTGTAATAGCTTGCCAATGGGTCTCACTTGCTCCTTTCTCCATGTCACACCATCTCTAACAATGCTGCTAAACTGACTTTCCAAAAGCCAAATCTGAGCATAGCACTCTTTTCTTTTTTTGAGATGGAATCTCACTATCGCTCAGGCTGGAGTGAAGCGGCACGATCTTGGCTCGCTGCAGCCTCTGCCACCTGGGTTCAAGCAATTCTCCTACCTCAGGCTCCTGAGTAGCTGGATTCCACCGTGCCTGTCTAATTTTTGTATTTTTTAGTAGACGGGGTTTCCTCATCTCATACCCAGCGCTTTGGGTGGCCTCATGATCCACCTGCCTCAGCCTCCCAAATCGCTGGGATTACAGGTGTGAGACACCGTGCCCGGCCCAATCTTGCTTTTAAGACCATTTATCCTGAGGACGAGGTCTAAGTGTGGTATCAAATACCACTCTCAATCTGATCCAAGCTCAACTTTTCAGCCTACTTATGTGACAAATGTATTCTACATCCACACTGAATGACTCACCATCTTCTGAAGCCTTTCAAACCGCTGGACCTTTACACATATGTCCCCTCTGCTGCAGTACCCTTGTCTACCTCCACGAAACTTCTGGTCCTTCCTTATGACCCAGATTAAACTTGACATTCTCTCAGAAGCCTTTCTGATGCCCACAAGGCAGTCACTTCCTATATGATGTGGCTGTTCATGCTCCCACTTAGAATATTTATTATTATAATTACTTACTATAAATGTTGCCTTTCTAGACTCCTCAGGAGAAGAAACTATATCTTATGTTCACAGCCTTATGGCACACAGTAGGCTTCAAAAAAATGCTTGTCAAATGAATGAATGAACAGGATTTGGAACTTTCCAGACCTAGGCATATGATATAGGAAGTCCTACTTATCTGCTACCAGACTTTGGGCAATTTCCCCTTTCTGATCCTATTCTTTTCCTGTAAAATGGGAATAATAGCACCTCCGTCACAGGGTTGTTTTAAGAATTAGAGATAATATATATTTTCAACCTCAGTCCATGGCATAAAACTGGTATTTGATAAATGACACTTATAATTCTTATTATGCTCTCTCTTTTGACTATTTTCCTAGGCTTGAACTAAGCTATGACTCATTATTTGCTATGTATATTATTCATTGAACATATTACTATGTCTTATTCTTAAATGAAAATATGGGTAAACTCTCATTTCTTTGGAAACAGCAGCAGCAGATATTCTAACTGTAAATTATATTTTATTTAATACTAACTACTCTTCTCAGAGCAGCTGGCATGCTTTAAAGAAAAAGTCCCTTGTTTTCCTTTTTTTAGGTCTCTATGACTTAAGTGGGATTTTTAATAAACATCTGTATAAACAACTTTTGGATCACTTACTACATAAGGTTTAACAAAGTCCTTGCAGCACATTTTCCAAAGATAAAGAAGAGTATTCCAGAAGGCTGCTGGCCTAAATGCAAGAGTACCCAGGTATCTGCTGAATATTTTCCAGGGATCCTAAGACAGGTATATGCTCCAAGAACGTGAGTTTCTAAAAATGCCAAGGGACTGATGAGCCACAGGCAGCGAAGTAAGAAACAGAGCTCATATGCTGCTGCTTCTTGCTCCTCCCATCTTGCACATTAAACTCTCATTATTTGGTTTCTCTGGTTTTCGTGTGGTGGACAGAACATGGCTCAGAAAATCTGGGCTCTATCCTGACATGAATCCTAACTGATCTGGCCATGTTAGCTCCCTGAACGACATTTTTTTCTTCAAATAAAGCATACGACTAGATGCTCTCCAGAGGCTTCTAGAGTTGGAGAACTCCACAGCTTTGATTTGTTTGCCACACTAGTTTATCTTCCATTGATATCCCTCCTCCACTAGTTACTGCCAGATCAATACCTTTAACCCATCCTCAGCTCAAATCATAACCTACCAGTGGTATTGCGACATCCTCATAAGGCAGCTTGTCTTCTCGCCAAGCATCATCAATCAAATCCAAGATCCTTCCATCTCTCTGAACCTCACTGTCCATTTTCCTGCAGCTTTGATCTTGTCAAATCTGAAAGCCAAAGAGGTTATTTCTTAAACATGAAGACTGAAGAGATGGTATAACCCACTATTAGGATTCTCCAGGCTTCTTAGCCTGAGGCCATCTTTTGGAAAGAGGTTCATTTTCTCATATGGGCTGGGTGACTACTTTGATCACAGTTCCTCTCTCCAAGCCCAGCTGATATGTACTTTTTAGTGTATATTGGACAGACATGGACCAATTGACAGACCAGTGTCATAGAGTGTGACAGGAGAGCAACATATTCTTAACCGAGGCCCTCAAATATGACTATGTTGCATCTAAATGTAGCCCTTCTCTGCTAACTTGAACGTTCACCTTTTCCTGTTTGTGATGCCTTTGATGAGTCCCTGATTGATAATGGCCTGCTAAGTTTCCTTGCTAGCCCCTGGCTCAAACCTCAGCATTCTTAGGCACAGGAGCCACATGAACACACTGGAAAGGAAACTGCTTCCTTCCCTAAAACAGCACCCTGGCTGAGATCTGAACAAAGCACTTCTAGGTGAACAACAGTGGGAGAACCTGACACTGCTCAAGTTTCTCCAGTTTCTGTTTCCCTATGGGGTAGCTCCTTCCTCTTAATTCTTAATGCTACACTCCCTTCAATTTCTGGCCCAAATGGTCAGGCTGCTTATTTAGCTCCTTGGCCATGGCTGATATCCCATTTTTCTCCAAAACTGCTATAATCTAATCCAAAAAGCTGGCTAGCTTGGAGGATACTTTTGGATTCCCTGTTTCCAAGGTTGGGCCCTGACTCATCATAGGCATCATCCTATGGGTGCTCCCTGCTACTAAGTGACAATCCAAAAAGTCTGGAAGCCACTGGCACCAAAGATATTCTCAGTTTCTGAGACTATGGAGATTCACAGAAGAAGCAATTTTGGGGAAGCAGGGTGGAACCCACCACCTGGAGGTACTTTTTTCAGAGCTCGGCCTGGATGCTCTTTTAAGGAATAAAGCCATTTCCTTTACAAGCTCAACTTCAGACATTGCCTTGCCTTGAGGATTTGTACAACTCTGGTCTGTAGTTGGTCCCTTCGTATACTCCACCTCAGTGTCATCTCAGTATGTTCATGAGCTCCTGTGCTTAGGAATGCTGAGGTTTGGGCCAAAGCAGGTGGAAGCTTTTGTAAAAATGGCTCACAGACGTCCCCCATAGGGTAACTGCAAGGTATTCCTACTCCTTGGCAAAAATTATACACAGATTGGTATGGGCAAGGGTTCTTACCCCCATGATAAGGATCTGGGCAAAAGTTAAGCAAAATGTGTCTTGCTACTTCTATCACCGGTGAGCCAGGTGAGGTCTTAATTAATCCAGTACTCAATAATTAACCCAGTACTACCCAGTGGATAACTCAAAGCAAGACGAAGTTTTGGTTATACTTTCGTAGTCCCCGTCTTACAAGAGCTCCCCACTTTTGTGCTGCTACTCCTTCGTCCTTGCTGCTCTGTCCCCTGGGATACCCTTCTCACTTTCCTCAGCTGATCCAAACATTTCCCCAGGCCCACACAGATTTTCCACCTTTTAATACAATTTTCTCAAATCACTTGAGCTTCATAGGCCTTCTATCCTTGAACTCCTGTTTCTTGTCCTAACTTAATCTACTAAACAAGCTAGGTCAGCTTTGTGATAACTGCTCAGGTATTATTGTCTCCAACTGTTAAGGGTACATTTTTTACCCATGATTTCTTAGATCTTTCCACAGTTTGGCCTCAATCTTTGTCACCTGTCCCTTCACCAAACACCTCCAACCATGTCACATTTTCCAGCCTTGGCAATTAAAATCCCCTTTTCCACATCACTAATGCTACTCTTCCTTTCAAGATTAAAGCAGGCGTCAGCTCTTGAAGATCAACATCCCATTTCCAGGGTTAGATGCAAAGGTGCCTTCACTCATAAGGGACCGGAAGGATCGGAAGCATCAAGACAATCAATGCCCAGGGCACAGTCACCGTCCCAAGTACTCGTCACACAGCACGACCACTGTTTCCTGAACAAACTTTTCTTACGTTACAGTCCCAATGCTTGCAATGTTCTTTTTTTCTCTTCCTTTTTATTCCAGTGAACCTCTAAAAATCTTAGGTCCCAGGGAGCTTCCTGTAGGAGGCCGCCTCCAAACCCCAGGCTGAGCGCGGTCCTAGTACCTACCCCTCCAAGGATCGCACAGTTCCCTGAGCACACAGCAGGGCACCAACTGGGGAGTTTGTCACACAGCCCAGATGTATTTCTTTCCAGACACGCGGTGCCAGCGTTTCCCAGGACAGAAGAATGTCTTAACAATCTCTATGTATTATATATATATAGCTTCGTAAACATGTATTTATTGAAGTCAAGGCTGGAAAGCCTTGTTCCTCGCTAGAAATGAGCCTCGCAGGCCACCACCGTCAGCGCCGTACGTGAAGCCGCCCGTCAGCTGCGGCTTCCGGCCTAAGGCAGGAGGTGCCAAACGTGGAAGCGCGGATGGGGAAGTCTGGAGGCGCCACCCAATTCCCTTTCCTCCCGACACAACGTGCAGTAAGGGAAATAGTTATGAGTTTAAAGTGACGACCTCAGCCGATGGGAATACGGGAAAGTCCGACACTGAGAAACGAACGCATTTCTGCGCCCCCAAGACCTAGACCAGGGTCGCTGGAAACCCTTACCAGCATCCAGCACACAGCAGCTGGCGCTTCCTCCGGCCACGCCCTCAGCATCACTAGTCCCCACGCTCTTCCCTCGGATTCCCGGATGTGGGTGAGTCCATTTGCTTGCGGGCCGGGGAAGTCTGAAGGAGAGTTTCAATTAAAAGTGTGGGGGCAGTGGGCGGGACGAACGCGCCGACAGAGGCTGGTAGTATGCTCGGCGGTGGCGCGCGTGCGCTGCGCCGGCCTGAGGTAACGGCGGGAAAAGTTCGGGGGCGCGCTTGTCGCAGCTTTGTAACCGCTTGTGCGCACGTCGGACGGGCAAGGGGCGGGCGTGCCCTGGTCTGGAGGCGGCCCATGCTGCCGTGGTGACCCTGGCTTCGTGGCCTCATAGCTTGCGGCTGGTTCCCGCCACAGCCTGCGAGTCACCAGGCGCGTCCCAGCCGGCTCGGGTCAGCCTCCGAGACCCGCCCCTCGACCTTACCTGCTGCGCCACGCAGACCAGCGGAGTCGGGCTTGGCGCTGTCGGGCATGGCGCCGTCCGGCGCGCGGGTTCGGCTCTGCCAGGTGGTCAGCCCTTCCGCGGAGACCGGGCGGTGGGGGTCACCTCGGAGGGTGGCCAGGGGGGCCGGCGTGCTGCGGCCAGGACTCACTTTGCCCGGCGGACCCACCATCCCTTTCAGCGCAGGTACCCCAGCGCCGCCTCCCTGCCGGGGCTGCTGTGTAGCTAACGCTGTTGGGACTACTTCATTCATCTCACAGGGGACCTGCTCATTCACTTGAAGACAGTACATCTAGGCTTATAATGTGGTTTTTCTTATGTCCCTTACGACATCAGGAAGATGAGTGCGATGTCAGATACTAGTCATCTTTTATACTTTCAGCACCGTACACTAATATGCATAAAATAGTTTTCCCTGAGCCTTATGTCCGATTAAACTGATTAAAAGAATTTTTTCCTTTGAAGAAGCAGTATTGTAGGGTAGGAACGCGTATTTATACGGTTCCTCATGTGTTAGCTTTTATTAGACAAGAAGAAATCATAAGGATCATTAATTAGATTTCTGTTAGTTGTAGCTTAATGATATACTAAAGTGTGTATATTATTTGGAATGCAGTATGATTTGTAGATCGATCTTGCCTTTTGACTGTAGTTATCAGTGATCAGGTAGTAAAAAAAGGCTCTGAAATTAAAATGAGGTAGAGATTTATAAACAAGCGCACTGCCTTTTAAAATATATGTAGATTCAAATCTAAAAGCTGTAAAAATTAATGTTGATTGTACTGATGCCATTTCCTCTCGTTAAAAGGTGAAAGACCTTTTCTTAGTTTTTTCTGTTCTCATTTATGTTGTGCTGGCAGATGGTGACAGCATCAGTAGTCGACTCTGTCATAGCTTCCTGCTTTCAAAAAATGTCTACTTGACTTGAAATTCAGCTAAAGCCAACATTGACATAAGGTTTCAGGAACTGAATCTCTGATCTCTATGTTATTTTAGCCCCCCCCCAGCTAGGTTTTTTTCAGTTTTACAAAGCCACAATACTGTCATTAAACGTATACAAATTAATAAAAATTCCCTAATGTCAATATCTAGTTAGATTCCGAATTCTTCAACTCTCTCCTAAATGTCTTCTTACAGTTAGCTTGTTTGAACCAAAATCCCACGTCTGCCTGTTACCTTTGGGTGATACACATTTGACATTTTTTAATCAATAACAGTTCCCACATAGCTATAGCTATAGGACTGGCCCTTATTTTTCCTTGCAGTTCTAAATTTAGCAGATTGCATTGCACAGTATCTTTTAACACGTATCTGTGTTGCCTTTATGTCCTCTAAACCAGGGTTTCCCGACCCCGGGGCCGCAGAGCACTACGGTCCGTGGCCTGTTAAGAACCTGGCTATAGAGCAGGAGGTGAGTGGCAGGAGAGTGAGCATCACCTACCACCTGAGCCCTGCCTCCTGTCAGATCAGCCATGAGGTTAGATTCTCCTAGAAGCACACCCCTATTGTGAATTACGCAGGCGAGGAATCTAGGTTGCACGCTCCTTATAAGAATCACTAACTATTGGGAGGCTGAGGCGGGTGGATCACGAGGTCAAGAGATCATCGAGACCATCCTGGTCAACATGGTGAAACCCCGTCTCTACTAAAAACACACACAAAAAAATTAGCTGGGCATGGTGGTGCGTGCCTGTAATCCCAGCTACTCAGGAGGCTGAGGCAGGAGAATTGCCTGAACCCAGGAGGCGGAGGTTGTGGTGAGCCGAGATCGCGCCATTGTACTCCAGCCTGGGTAACAAGAGCGAAACTCTGTCTCCAAAAAAAAAAAAAAAGAATCACTAACTAATGCCTAATGCTCTGAGGTGGAACAGTTTCATCCTGAAACCATGTCCCTAACCATGTCCATGTGTATTATTCATATTAGTCAAGAAGTGGTTTGGCCATTTCCCCCAAACAACATTTCATATGAATTTTCACAAAAAAAAAAAAGACAAAATATGTTATTTTCACCCTGTCGGTGGAAAAATTCTTCATGAAACAGGCCCCTGGTGCCAAAAAGGTTGAGGACCACTGCTCTAAACCAGTAGTTAGATGTAGAATTGCACTGTCCAGTATTTTAGCCACTAGCCAGCTGTGGCTAGTTTAATTAAGTGAAATAAAATTAAAAATTCAGTTCCTAACTTGCATTAGCCACATTTTAAGGGCTCAATAGCCACAAATTGCCTAGTGACTACTCTTTGAACAGTGCAGTTATAAAATATTTTCATAATTGCAGAAAGTTCTGTTGAACAGCACTGATCTAGAAGCCTGATCAAATTTCACCCTTGTTTTGTTTTGTTTTTGGGATAGTTGGGGAAGTGGGCAGAAAATTTCACAGGTGATGCAATATACTTCCTATTTCATTAATGATCAGGTAAGCAGTGTCTGAGTTGTTTCTCCTTTTATGATGTTAACATTAAACATTATGTTGGGTTTAGGTGTAGTTAGCTCCATCCACCCACAGTGAAATTCCCCAAGACTCTCACTTCATGGTGAAGTCCTTTTGTGGGGTTATATTGCCTGTATCAGTTATTGCATTAGGGGTTGCAAAGTAGTGATTATCTAATTCTATTATTTCTTCAATATTTATCAGCTGAGAATCTTTTATGATGAACTTTGTCTTATCAGCTGTTTGACCACATTAAAATACAATTTGTACAGGAAAGGCAAGAAAAATGCTTATTCTTTCCCTCTATTTTCAGACTACAGTAATGAGTTGGTGGCCTAGCAACCTCCAAAGGTAACCAAGAGGGTTTTTGCCTTTTTGTAAACCTATCATCATGCACTTATAGACTTTGTAATATAGTTTAACTGTTTCAACATATGGCAATTGTGTTGTTAATACTTAAATTGTTTCATCTTTGGCCAGTGGGAGTGCCTTAAAGTTGGCTCCTATTCTATTTGATATGACCAATCATATCAAATAGAATAGGTAATTTTCTTGCTTTCTGGTATATAATTTTCCTTGCTCATTTACAGATTTCTGGTCTTCAAAGAGTCCTGGTTCTTTTGAGTCTGAGATAGTATTTGGAGACCACAGTCTAGATGTGAGAGGTGTTGTTGCTACTAGGTTAGTCATTGGTTCTAGGATTTATAGTGGCCAGAGTTAGAAAATATCATATGTTAAAAAGCAAATATGCAGAGTTCGCATTGTTTCCAACATTTAACATTTAATTTTCCAAAATTTAAACTTAATTTTACAGTTTTTCCCACATATTTATGTTTGTATCTTTTTTTGCTGAAAATCTTGGTACCTAGTGCCATTAGTAGAATTAGTTTTTTTCTTCATCCCATGTCATATATCTGTCTTGAGTTAGCAGCCCATTTTATTATTATCAATTATTATTATTTTTTATTATCAATATGATTCCTGAGTAGTGCTTAGGATTTCTTTGCAATTCTCTTTTACCTTTACTTTATATGTCTCTGGGGAAGTGTATAGTAAAATTACTGTGTTTTAAAGGCATATGAAGTAATTTATTGTGTAGTTAATCTGTCAGCTTGATATCTAGTTGGTAGTTGATTTATTTTGCTTTCGATTTTTCAGTACTGCTTTTTCTCCCATTTTGATTTGTTTTATTATATGCAAAACCTTCGCATAATTCCCATAAAACAAGTGCCCATAAAACAATTTAGCTTTCATCTCTGTTTCTTCCACTCTACTTATTTTCCTTTTTTATAGATAATTGTTTTGACTAGTTTTGGGTCTATTCTTCCTTTAAAAAAACATGTACCTAAAAGCAAATATACATGGACAAACACACCTTTCTTTCTTAGATAAAATGTGGTATTATGTATACTGTTTTCCATCTTATGTTTTTCCCCTAGTGATTCCCTTAGCTCCCCTCCGTAGGAAAATGTAGAGATTGTTATTCCTTTTTACAGTTTCATAATACTCCATTGGTGGATGAATATTTGACTCATCCTCTTGGATAGATACCTGTGTTATTTTCTGCTATTACAAATAGTCCTGCAGTGAATATCCCTGTGTATATGTTGTTTTGCCAATGAACTTATAGGATACAGTCTTAAAAGTTGCAGCTGGGCACATGGCTCATGCCTGTAATCGCAGCACTTTGGAAGGCTGAGTTGGGCGGATCACAAGATTGAGAGATCGAGACTGTCCTGGCCAACATAGTGCAACCTCGTCTTTACTAAAAATACAAAAATTAGCTGGCGTGGTGGTCCATGCCTGTAGTCCCAGCTACTCAGGAGGCTGAGGCAGGAGAATTGCTTCAACCCCGGAAG